TCCATCGTCACCCCACCAGTCACTGGATATCCGAGAGGTCTGTTAACCTGTTGGAATCTAGAAGACACCTCCCGGCTGGCTCTGAACACAACGTGATCAGACGTGCTATTAAGCGTGAAGTAAAACGGTGCCAACTTGCTGATAAGGAAGCCTGGTGGACCAGTAAGGCTTAAGAAATGGTGGAAGGCATGAGCAGTAGGCAATTACCGCAAGCTCTTCTAGCTGATTCGGACCACTGGTCCTAGGAAAGTAGGGATCAATGAGACAATCAGAGACAGCGCGGGTGAACTGATACACAATAAGGGGCGTCGTATGGCTCGTTGGGCGGGACACTTTCAAGATCAATTCAGCTAGCCCCGTGCTCCCGGTTCTCTTCCTACTCAGGTGATGCAGAAAGAGCCATGGATGGGTAGGTTAGCTCCTCCGTCGGAGGCCTAGGTCAGAAACGGGATCACAGACCACAATCACTTTCGTACCGTTGTCCCGGATTCCCTCCCATCTGCACTATTTAAGGATGGAGGTAAGGTACTATGCAAAGCACTGTCTTCCCTATTCGAAAGTATCTGGAAGGAAGAGAGTGTCCTGGCTAACTGGAGCGAATCGATTATATTGGCAGTATACAAGAAGTGCTGTCGCATAGACTGTCCTAACCATAAGGGTATTCGCCTAACGCCGGTTGTGACAAAATTACTGGTCTCGATTCGCGTTCGTCGCCTCACTGTAAAACAGGAATCTCGGAGTAGGGAAGAGTAAGCAGGTTTCCGCCCCAGACGTGGCTGTATAGACCAAATATTTAGTTTGCGGCAGGTGTTAGAGCAGCACCACGCATACCACAGACCGACAATATTTGTGTTGCTCGATTTCAAGAGTGCGTTCCAACAGTCGATCAATGCATTCTGTTCGAAATAGTTGCGCGGCCAGGTGTTCCCACGAAATGTGTGAACATCCCACGTACTCTATATTCGAACACTACAGGCCGCCTTAGGGTCTACGGTGACCTGTAGAATAGCCTTCCGACCACAATTAGCATTCACCAAGGTTGTCCGATTTCCCCATTTTTGTTCAGTTTCGTTGTGGATACTATCACAAAATGTTCTCTTGCAAAACCTCAAAAAGTAGGCGTTGAGGTCCTACCTCGTGGGAAACTGGTTCAGCTTGATTATGCGGACGATATCGTCTTGCTTTCCGATGATGTTGCGGCCGCACAATCAACCCTGAGTAGCCTGTCTAGAGTGGTCCCGTTAGTTGGTATGCGCTTCGCATCTTCAAGGGTAAAGTGCTGCTGCAGGACCATCAGCCACTTGATGACCCCTTGACCATTGATAACAAGGAACTCGAGGTGGTTGATCAATTCACTTAACTTGGCAGCTGCATCAACAACGATGAGTGCATAGAAACTGAAGTCAGTTCACGCATTGCAAAGGTCAAAACTGTCTTCTTTATACTACGGCATCTTGTTGACAGAAGGGAATTTCCCTTCATATGAAAGACGGTGTCTCCAGGGCCACCTTGAGGGCGGTCCTGTTGTATGGTAGTGAAACTTGGCCCCTTCGGTCTGAAGATCTAAAGAGCCTTCAAATCTTTGATCATTGTTATTTGCGAAGCATTGCTGGTGTCGGATGGCACCAGTGTGTCCGCAATGATGATGTGCGTAGACGAGCATTAGGTAGTGATAATTTTGCTAGCTCTTTAGAACAACAGATAGCACAAAGTAAGTTGCATTGGCTTGGGCATGTGCTACCTATGCATGATCAATGCTTACCTAAGAGGGCATTGTTTAGTCTGCCAGGTGTAGGTTGGCGCAAAGCTCGTAGTAAACAGAAGTTGAGTTGGCAGCGGGAAATGAAGTCACTGACGACCAAACTAGTGCCGTTGATCCGTCTCACCTTCCGGGCTTGAGTCCACGTGACTAGCTTTGTGCTTGGCTCCAGAGATTACAAGACAGGGTTCACAACCGACACCAGTGGCGCGTCTGCTAAATTCTGCTAGTCGGATTGACTGTTTAAAGTGTGTTTGGTACTAAGGTATGTAGAGGGTATTGGCTGATTATGACGCGGGACATTGAAAGCCGCAAGGAAGCTGTCTCGCCGATGCCGCCTTATTTTTACACGATAGCCAGCTGGTTGTGACGGTATAATGTCTTCACTAAGTGTAGGCGCCTTGACCCTGAATGTATTTTTAAAGCATTAAGGTTTTCAGGTAAGTCCCCTTCTCTCCCTCTTATTATTCGCTTATTCTATAGGTCATCATGGTTGTATGTCAGCGAAGCATCCGTTTTAATGGCTGATGCACTGCTGTTGTTGTTGATGTTTGCTTGATATCCACCTTTGCGATCCTGTTCCGGCAGCTCACATACATCTTGAGCACTTTCAAAATTGATGGGTCCATCTTGCGTTTTATGTTCTGAACAACCCAATAGATAGTTAAAAGGCAGTGTAAGCAGTATTAGCCTAATGTCTGTGGTGACGAACTTGTTGGCTTTAAGTCTCGTTCGTCGCCCCACTGCAGAACGGGAATTCCGGATCAGGAAAGTGAAAACTGGCTTTTGTCCAAAATGGGGCTATTTAGACCACAGATATTAGAACAGTGTCACACTTGCATTATACAAACACTAGTTGATCTTCAACTGCAACGGTGTACTCGATTCAGTCGATCAATGTTGGGGTGACCCAATGAACAATAAATAACCTCAGTAGAGTAATACCATCATTTGGCATGTGCTTCGCACCTTCAAACTGCTAAGTGTTATTGTAGTACTATCCACCACTCGCTGATCCCTTGAGCCTTAATAGCGAGGAACTCGAAATGGTTGATCAATTGGTCACTTACTCGGCTGCTGCATTAGCAAAGATGGACGCATAATCCCAAAAATTGGTTTGCGCATTCCAACAGCTAGAACTACCTTCTTAAATCTGCTACATCTGTGATGTCACCAAAGGGTTGCTTCAATGTGAAAGACCGTGTTTACAAGGCCACAACGAGGGCCATCCTAATCTATGGGAGTGATACTTGTCTCCCTTGATCGAGGGGGACAGCGATGCCTTCAAGCCTTTGATCATCGCGGCCTGCGAAATAGTACGGGTGTCGGATGCCATCAGCGTGACCAAAAAAATGATGTGAGTGGGCGATTGTTAACCATGAATTATCAGGCTAGTTTCTTAGAATATCAGAAGCTTTCTCGCCAATGACGATTTTTCTTTGCGTTTGTGATGGAATGTTGGTAATACAAGGTATAGGCACCATGACCCTGATTGTTTGCTTATAGTTCTGAAGTTCCACTCGAGGTCCAATTCTCTCCCACTTTTTCCGCAGGTCGTTGTGGTTGTACGACAGCGAATCATCAGTTCAAATGACTGAGGAACTGCTGTTGCTAATAATAATGACAATAATAATAATATGCCGCAACCTGATGAGCAACGCTATTCTTGGATCGTTTCTCCTCCTTTCATACTTTACCAACCAGTGCATATTGTTTGCCAGCTTTGCGTAACTTTCATTTAACGATACCTCCGTGCTCTAGGTACAATAAGACACTGCAGAATCATCTTATGGTAGTTTCTCATCATTTGATTTTGCTTTACATGACAGTAAATATATTCTACTGACCCTGATTTTCTATTTTATGTAATATCCAACTGAACGTCTTCTGGAATACCATAACACGAACCTATTGTCCTCAAAAGTTTAGCTAGTTGGAAAAAAGCTGCGAGAATCTTACTTGTACCAAATTGCCTGCGTTCATTATCTAATATTACAGTAGACTAAATCTAGCGTGTCTATAACTTATTTCTTAAAGAGAACTGGCCCGTGAAAATTTATATGCTTCTTTAGTGGACACGGCTGTAATTATTCCGAGAAATATACATTATAAAATTTCAGTCATGGTGAATGGAACAGAGCTGTTGTTCTGAACTGGAATAATTCAGTAGTTGTGCATGAAACAGGATGAAAAACGATTTCGCGTAGTAACCTCTGACCATGTGCATTCCGACACGTGTGCAGAGTTGCTGGGAGCAGGAGTACCAATCCTTTGTTAGATCGATTTCTGTAGCAAAAGCATTCATCGGCATAGGCAGCCTAACTCCTCAAACGCAATTTTATCCACTTGATAGGCATGAGAAATAACTGCTGCGATGAAGTCATTACAGTGGGGCAGGTAGTTTCTGGATTCACCTGGGCAGCCATCATCAAAGGGAGGGTGCAGCGCTACCTTCGAGTATTTGCTGAGAGCAACTTTCACTGCTGGTTTACATGGGGACTGGTATTAACTGTAACTGGATAGGTATCCTTTCCGCCACTCTATACACGTTGCAGTTTTGTATGCGTTAACGAAGTCGTAAGAACCCGGTACAAACATAGGATCAAACATAAGTAATAGTAGATGCATCCGTTCCGACAAACAAGAGATCCACACCTGTTCGCCATCCCTGTTGGAGGCTGCATGGCGCGGATTTCCTTCTGTGTCCAGGGTTTGTGCCGTGTTCATTGATTGTGCTTACATTCCTCGCGCAAACAACTGTGGTTCTAAAGCGTACTTCTCTTTTGGGGGAGTGATTAGGGCATGCTGTTGGCTGGTTGCCGTTTCGCATTCTGGCCGTTACACTCTACTGATAAATGGTGCAGTAGTGTCTGCCTTCAGTCCTCCACAAACCACCATATTCTTCACTCATCCAATGGTAATTTGAGCAATTTCTAGCAAACATTGATAACAAAAAGTTACTACATTGCTTATAATATCTTAAGGACTTTCGCAGACATACTTCTTTGGAATAAGTCTAATCCATTCGAATGTTAGTTTTTCCGTTGCTGAAGACTTGTTTTCCACCTAGTGGGTGTGAGATGTGCAAAGGAATTTCCGACATTACTCCGTTTGTGAATACCTTAAACCGCCGTATACTACTCTTAAATCTCAGTGATTTCAGGATGATTAAGGTTGTTCGGGCGTCGGGGGTTTTACCAATTGGACATAACAACAAGCATTCGCAAAAGGATTTACTCACCAATAGCCACTTCCATCAGCCCCATGCAGAACATTGGGGCCAGGTCGTAAATTAAACGTTTCGCTCTGCGTATACGCCGTATCAGATCCAGAACAAATACACTGATACAGCACACCAGATCGAGCGGCCATACGATCTGATACTCCATCCACAAAGACCTTGTCTTCACTAGAAATGGAACAATGATGTATTACGGATAAGAAAGCAATGAGGACCTGGTCCTGCGCGACGGAAATTAGTAAGAAGATAAAACTTCTTGATAATGGAGAGACCATTTAGTGGACTAACCATTGACTTTCGTACAAGAACCGTTATGTTCACGTGATTCCAGCTTACATCCATTAACTCACTGTTTGGAATTTTGGAAACATCGTTTGGTTGCGCTATGTAGTCCTCTGACTAACAGCGAATTTTAAAAGTTACCTTGGCTGCGCCTGAAATGGTATCAGTGGCAATCCAAGCATGGCATGACAAAAGGAAACTTGGGCCACCAGAAGTACGGTTAAGACCATTCCTTCAATTAGCACAGACCTCAGATACAGATGAGCCAGCCTCAATTGTACCCATCTCAAACCAGCCAACTTTGCAAACAACCGTTTCAAAAAACTTCAGCAGACCGGCACTATTTGTGCCCGTCACTCACAGCGAACCGAGCTCCTGATGCGTCAACAAATAAAATGCTGCTACACCAACACTCAGGGGTTGTACTCTAAGCTCTCGGAGCTGCGCCACCGACATGAAACCACTACTTGGGACCTCATAGCAGTCACTGAAACTTGGCTCTCAAACGACATACTTGATCCGGAGATTGAACTCAGTGAGATGTCAGTCATACGAAATGATCGTCCATCTCGCGGGGGGCGGTGTTGCTCTCTACTATCGAGATTGTCTGAAATGTGAGGCACTTACCGAAAATTCCCTCGTTATTCCCGACGCACTATTTTGCCGACTGCACCTAGCAGGTCGAGATGTTGTTTCACAGAAGAAGAGTGATGCTTGCCTCTTAGCAGTTATTTATAGACCTCCGAACTCATCAGCAGACAGCGATAACATTCTGTTAAACGCCCTCCGCTATGCTGTTTCACAAAAGTACTCTCACTATCTTATAATGGGTGACTTTAATGTTCCTTCAATAGCATCAGTGTCCCCTAATGGGCCATCATTTAAATCGAAACTCCTCGAATTTATGGATATGGCAGTTTTGTATAACCATGTGCATCGACCAACCAGACATCGCGGTTCAGACAAGCCATCACTCCTGGACTTAATCCTGACTAATGAAGAGTTGATGGTTGAGTCAGTAGCATACGATCCTCCACTGGGCTGAATACTGAATACTGAATACTGAATACTGTATTATAGAGCAAGTAGAAATGGATTCTGTACAACTCTTTCGAGATATGGCGAAAAACGTTATAAAAGTTGTCAACCTTGAATATCATGGTCGTTCTCATGTAATATTTAAAATATGCGAATTACGATATTTCAGGATTCACAAATCTGATGTCATCGTAAGTGTGCAGTCGTTCTCTGAATCGAATAGAGGCAAAATGCAAATCTAACAGCGTTTTGAACTGTTGCACCGATGTTGCCTCAATCACATGTTCGGGCAAACTATTCCAAATGTTTACCACTCTCCGTTCGAAGCACAGTGGGTGGGGAACACGTTTCATATCCGGCACAACAAGTTTGTATCTGTGTCCGCGTGTGCTGCATGGCCCTCGTAAGTGCAGCATTGGCCTTAACATGGGGAACTCACCGAGATGTAGAATTCGGTAGGTCATAATGAGGTCAACTCGCACCCGACGGTAGGACAAGGTGTAGAGTCCTAGTTTCTCGCACCGGTCTTCATATCCAAAGCCACGTAAACTCGGGATGAGCCTGGTAGCAACGTGTTGGACCCGTTCGATCTTTTGTGCCTCGCCTCGGGTAATCGGAAAGTAGGCGGGCGAACCGTACTCTAGCATTGGTCTAATGATAGAAGAGAACAGGCGAGTGGCAACCTCTTCAGACCATGTGCAGAAGCTACGTTTGAGCGCCCAAAGCATGCGCAGTCCGTTCCGATATAGCCTGTAGCGATATAGCTGTAGCGACCATTCAGTCCTAACATTTGGTTACGTATGTTATGCCAGTATTGTTGCTACAGAAAGTAAGACTCAAGGAACTATTACGGACTATTATAAGCTGCGCAGCTTAGCAGCAACCGTTGACTGGGACCTACAGACGCACAGCTCAGCGAATGACGCGTGGAATGAATTGAAAGACAAAATTAACTGGGTCATACAATCAGCATCGAAGGTTGTACCATTACGAGCATCGCGCCGGACCAATACGTGGATCCGGAACAGAACACGTAAATGGATCAACAGAAGAGATGACGTCTGGAGGCAACATTTGCTAAGCCCATGTGATATCACATGGCAGGATTACAAAGTCATAAGAAACTACTGCACGGCACTCATTAGAGTCGATAAGTACGAATGGCAGGAGAATATGGTGCTGAAATTTACGAGTAACACCAAACTGCGATACAGATTTGTGAATGGCAAAAGAAAGGTTAAGCCCGGAATACCACCACTCAGGACAGCCAATGGCCTAACAACTACTGCTGTGGATGCCGCGAATGCTCTACTCTTGCAGTTTGGCTCGGTAGCTACAAATGTCATGGGACCTTCGCCCTATCAACTCCCAACAAATGTCGTTGGCTTATCCAGCGTCACGTTTACTCCAGCAGCTGTTGCAAGCAAACTACAGACTCTCCGGGAGTACAGTGCCCCTGGAATCGACATGATCTGCCCAAAAGTACTAAAATCCCCTGCCCCCACCATAGCAACACCACTTGCAACCTATTTTCAGTGTCTGCTTAACTCCCATACACTCCCATCTGAGTGGAAAAATGGAATTATCACTCAGATATATAAAGGTGGTAAGCGTTCGGATCCTGCTAACTACCGACCTATTACTCTCCTTCCTGTTTTGTCAAAAGTTATGGAATCGGTAATCGCAGATGAACTGACGCGATACTTTGAAAGTCAACTGATAATTTCTAATGCCCAACATGGGTTCCGACGCAGACGATCTTGTCTCACCAATTTGCTGATTACTCGGGAATTATGGACCAGGGCGGCTGATGAAGGAGTGCCCATAGATGTGATATACCTGGATTTTTCTAAAGCATTCGACAGGGTCAATCACTTCTTTCTCCTCCAAAAGTTTGCTGCCTACGGTATCAACGGTTCCGTGCTCACTTGGTTGGAAGACTACTTACACGACAGAGCAATCAAGGTAAGAGTAGCTGACACCTATTCCGAAAGCTTTTACGTCTCCAGTGGTGTTCCACAAGGATCCGTCCTCGGCCCGCTGCTATTTTTAGTCTACATTAATGACCTTCCTGCAGACATTCTATCTCCAATGCAAATATTTGCAGACGACGCTAAAATATGGAGAGCTATTCGCTCAGCATCCGGCCATGTCTACCTCCAGGAAGATCTGACCCGGATTGACGAATGGGCAGAAAAGAACCAGCTCCCACTGAACGCTGCAAAGTGCCACCTGCTGACGGTGCACAACAGCTTCGTTAACACATACCTTTTGGGGCAACATGTCATGCAACACGTGACTAGTGAACGCGACCTAGGTATAGTCGTGCAAGAGAGTCTTGGAAATTAGCTCCAGTGTTCGAAAGCAGCAAGTGTAGCGAACTTGAACTTGAGACTCTTGAGGCGAGCTCTCGACACTTTTGAGCGACAGCTAGTACCATTGTTGATTAACTCCTACATTCGTCCTCATGTTGAATATGTAATTCAGGCCTGGTGTCCATGGTTAAAACGAGACATCCGCCTCTTGGAACAGCCCCAAAGAAGAGCCACAAAAGCAACGCGTGGACTATCCGGTATAAGTTACGAAATGCGTCTTCGTGTACTCGGGATGTTCTCATTAGAATACCGACGGCTTCGCAGAGATCTTACTCTCACATACCGGATACTAACCGAAAGCGAGCATCCATGTACATCGCTGTTGACTCTAGCCCCATACAAACAAAACCGAGGCAACCACCTGAAACTAATGACGCAACACTCTCGTTTGAATTGTAGAAAGTATTTTTTCTCACTTAGAATCTGTTCTCACTGGAATGCATTACCAAACTATGTGGTGAACGCACCAGACATGACGACATTCGAAAAACTCTTAGATTTTCATCTTAGTGATAAACGATACACAACACTTTGTTAAAGTGCAATGATTTAGCCACTGATACTTTACGTTCCACGTTGGAACATTTTGATTTTAATTTTCTTTTGCATATCCATCCTGTGGGTCTTGTAAAGTCATGCTTTTTATCCCATCATACACCATTGAACCATTGAACATATGTGAAGGGGACCGCTATCACTTACCCCACAACCTTTTTGGTGTGTTGTTTGTCGAAAACGGCAGATGTAGGAAACGTTTCTATCATAGTGAATTCACAATCCTAACAACTGCGCTTTTCGAAGTACTAAAGGGAACTAACTGTTTCAAAGTTCTAAAAAGACGAATTCCCGCTGAAACAGTCAAGCTACTTCGCCGTATTGTCAACCTGCTATGTAAGATTGCTTGCAAGCGTGTGGAAATATCCTTCCTATCCGCATGTATCCGTCAGCGTCGTTATTCTCGATCGATTGTGAAGAAGTTACCTAGAAACAAATTAAAGCCCTCTGCAACTAATCTTAGACGGGTCGCATCCGCTAATCTTGAGACGGCACCAACCAGACTTGTGGATTTACTCTAGACACACACACGCCTATTGCTCGTCATCGAAAACTTGTCCCTCTGCTGTCGTATTGCATTCTCTTGTTTTGTAAAACCACCGTTGATCGCACAAAAATGATTGCGTTGGCTCATCTAGAAAAGTCAACCAAGAGGAAGTGGCAGTTACTCGTGACCACGGTAAGTATGTTCTGAATATGTCGGATTTGAAGCTTAAGGCCTTACAATTGGAAGTGGTATCACTTGGCATAGACTACAAAGTTCCTCCTAGACGATAAATGAGCTCCTTGTTGAATCGCAGTTTGAAAACTTCTTTGATCAGGTGAAAGATTTACAACCAGCCAGTGCTGATAAGCTCATATGGTCTAGAAACAAGCTGACAGCTATTGCTTATGAGGTTAAACATGTGCCAGTAAAAG